TCCCCGCGTCACGGAGGGCCACCAGCAGCCCGCACAGGAGGCAGCGGCCCGCGGGCCCCATCGCAGCTCCCACAGCGGCTTCTGTGCCTGCAGAGGGAATAAAACCTCAACACGGGATAACCAAGAGGCGCCTAGCAGTGCCTCTGTGGGTAGGTCCTGCTGCAGCCGTAAGTTAATGTTGCTGAATCTTAGTGTTTTGGCAGGAACTAAAGCTGTTGTCCCCTTGGAGCAAGGGCTGTGCAGGTCCTGCTGCACTGGGGCGCACGAGTGATATGGGTGTAAAAATCCTAGAGGTTGTTTTCGAGGAGGAAGCACCTCCAGGACTGCATTGCAAAGGCATGATAGCATTAAATAAAAAACTGGGCAAAAATGGCATTTCTTGATCTGGAAGCCGGATGTTTTCGACATTCCAGACCCGGGAGCCAGGCGTGCTGCGGGGCAGATGGAGACCCTCCTTGAAGCCCAGAAGCGGAGCGGGCCGGCGGCAGCGGAGCGCTGGTCCTTGTCCGAGGCGCACCGAGAGGCTGAGTGACGCAGGAGGGCTCGTATGTGAGTGACCCGTAGTCCGAAGCGGTCTGCAGCCGTGAGGAGCTCCACGCTTTGGCATGAGCACGTCTCATGCAAGAGGCGTTTGGAGCTGCGCTTGCTCGGGCTGAGTTGAGTGCAGCCGTAGCTATAACCGCCCGTTACAGAGGCTTAGCCCTTTCTTTTCATACTTCAATCTGACGCCCATTAATGTAACATAAATGACCTGCAGATGTGGCTGTGTTGGAATGCCAGTTATACTCTTTCAGACAAGTAAGAGTTAAACGAAGTCCTTTTAGTGCATCTCAGTTAATATTGGAAGATACCAAGGGAATAAAAGCTCCTATGCATTATATAGGATTTATTTATTGATCAGTGGATATATTATCCATAACAGCAATACAGTTAAGTGCTTCATGGTGACTTGGACTGTGATTCAAAACTAAAATTTTATCTAGCCCTCTAGTTACATATATATATATATATATATATATGAGAGCTCAAATCTAACTGCATTTTCCTGCTCCGGCATTTCCTTGTGAATGGGACTAACCAGTGGCTTGGCTTTTTTTTTTTTTTTTTTTTTTTTTGTCGTTACTTCTGTGTAACGCAGATACTTTCTGCGGGAGTTGCAGTGGGAACCTGCTCCGTGGGGCTCGCAACTGGAATCAGGTTTTGGAGCTTGGGATTCTGCCTACGAGCAGTTATAATTTGGTGAGATCTGGACCCAAACCACTAATCCTGGGATTTTGCTGGGAAAGATGCGTATCAAAAGGTAGCGCTGCGCTATTTACGGGAAAAGCCACGTTTTTCTCACTGTTGCTCCTGAGCACTTTTGGCTTAGGTGTCTCTATGTCTAAACAAAGAGGAGTACAAACCTCAGCGAGATCTGCTGTTCTCAGTTTAAAATAGTTGCTGGCTATTCTCAGAGTAGCTCTAATAAAGGAAACTTCCTGTGCACAGAAAAGTCTGTATGATTCAGCCCAAAAGAAGCGAGAACAGAACTTAAGGGGGAAAAGAAATCATGCTTACCAGCCGCTCCGCGTCCTAGCTGGCTTGCTAGTCTCCTTGAAAGTGAAGTCCTGCTCCTGCACCGCTGTCCCTAAGGGCGCGAGGAGCTGTCAGCTAAGAGACCGTGTTTTCCATTTGCTGTTGCGCAAATCCCATTAATTTTTCCTGGCCCTCACTTAGCTTAGGGCCACTTATGTAAAATCCAGCCGCAGTGTGAGAGCTTGGGAGATATCCTTAAAGGGGAAAAAAGGAGCGATGTGGCTGTTTGGGAGGAAGCGAGGCAGAAGGGCTGTCAGGACAGGCCGTGTTTGCAAGCTGAGCTGCCCCGGGCCTGGCTCTCACCGTGCCCAGCACCCCGCGGGTGAGCGGGGAGAGCTGCTGAGGAGCCCGTGCACGGAGGGTGTCCGCAGGCTCACGCCGAGACCTCCCAGTGCGTTTTTTCCCCGTGTGTCAGTAAATGAGTGATAGTGTGAGATGCTTTAGCTTCCCTTTTAAAAGGCAGCGGAGGAGCCCGCACCAAAGAAGGGAATTGCCGAGGAAAGGGGCAGAGCTGTGAGGGAAGCGGCTCCAGGCTGACCCAGCCGCCTGGCACGTGCCGGTGCTGTGGCTGTAAATCTGCAGAGTACCCTCAGCCCCACGGGTGGTTTTCCACCTATGGCAAGTTTTGGCTTTAGGACAAAACAAAGTAACTTTGTTTTTTTCTTTGTTTTTTCTTTGTTTTCCTGTGCATCTTGCCTTCCAAACTGGACGCTGCAGGATGCTGAACCTAAAAGGCCTGAGGCTTTCCTCCCTGATCCTTCCAGCACTGGCCAAAGTTAGCTAGATATAACCTAGACTGACCTCCCGCCTTGAATTGGTTACTTCGTGCAGGGAAGGACGTGGGCTGTTTCCAGACCAGCATGTTCCTGCCCACCCTGGTTCCTGACACAATGCTAGGAAAGGAGCTGCAGTTGGCAGGAATGGGAAAGAATCATCCAAGGGAATGTTAATCAGGCAGTGTCCCAAATGACCGAGTTGTCCTTAAGACCCAGCTATCCAGAAAGCATTAGGGGATGTTTGGGTAAATGCACAGCTGACTTCTTCGATGGACAGCTTGAGTCCAAGGTGGGTTGCAAACAGTGAGGAGGAGAAATGCAAGGCAGGGAGAAGCTGTTCCATGGCTCCTGCCTTTCTGCCTTGGTTTGGTCGAGTTGTTGGTCCTGCTTTTGGAGAATTTGCTGCTTTTGGAGAATTTGCTGCTTTTTCTTTCTCCCTCTGTCCCACCTCTTGGCAGTGATTTTTCCAGGCAGTGCTGAGTCTTAAAACACTCATCCCTCCTGTAAGTCTGGTCAAATTTGACAGAGATCCAGATGTATCCATACTAAAACAACTGTCCCATAGAAAGCACCCAATACCCCCCCTCCTTTTTTTTTTTTTTTTTCAGTTTTTTTTTAAGCGGAGATGAGTTTTTCAGCTCCCTCTCCCCTGGGTGTGGGCAGGACAGCCAGGCTGCTTCCTGTGCCAGCTCCTGGCTTGAGCTCCAAAATGCAGGATTGGGTGTTTTGTCAGGCTGCTGCTACATGGAAATTGAAC